GAAACAAGCCGTGGTCCCTCCATGAGGAGACAGCCCAGTGTCTGTCAGCAGATGATAGAGAAACAAGCTGTGGTCCCTCCATGAGGAGACAGCCCAGTGTCCGTCAGCAGATGATGGGGAAACAAGCCGTTCTCCATCCATGAGGAGATAGCCCAGTGTCCACCAGCACATGATGGAGAAACAAGCCGTGGTCCATCCATGGATAGACTACTACTCAGCCCTAACGAGAAATGGAGCCCTGACACGCCATAACATGGATGAACCTTGAGAACATGACACTGAGTGAAAGAAGCCAGACACACAGGACACACACTGTACAAGCCCGCTCTCGGGAAGTGTCCAGAGCAGGTGAATTCGTGGAGACAGAAAGCAGGTTAGTGGTTGCCAGGGGCTGGGGGAAGGGGAATGGGGACTGACTGCTAAAGCGTCCAGGTTTCTTCTGGGAAGATGAAGACACACCAAGACCGGAGGTGCCGGGTGCATGGCCCTGTGACTGGCCTCAGAGCCCTCGAATGCTCATCGCCAAACGGGGTCTCCTTGTCTTCACTCTCTTCTCGGTGTCTTCCAACATTATCTGGATATTGTCATGAGCATATCACACTTTCCAAAAACAAAAACATGCCTAAAAATTGAATATGCTTGGCGCGATGTGAAGTACGCAAGAAGAGAGAAAGGAACGACGTGAGAATGTCAGACGTGGTCACCGGTAACCCCAGGAGTGTTTCTGCATGCCGATAGTGTGTGTGTGTGTCTTCAGTGGGGCACTTTTTATTCAAGCCCAGCTAGAAAAGATTCAGTTTCCGGAGGAGGTAGTGCAGGTGCTGAACACCCTAGATAATTAAAGGCACGTCAGCACCCTGGAGGCCCCACCCCAAATGAGACCATCAGCTATGGAAGTGGCAGAGAGGCAGGTTCCTGGGCCGGGCTCAGACAGGGGCGGCTGCAGACAAGGCCGCGAGGCAAAGGCCGAACTCAAGCCGGCAGTGGAAGGAGCAGTACAGAGAGTGAGGTTGTCCAACTCCATCCTGCGCGCATGCGGCAAATCTTTGGGGAGATGGCAGTCTGCAGGGAGGTGAGGGGCAACCCTCCCTGATGGAAACAGGACAAATCTCAACTACCCTGTGCACAGATATGTTCTCCTGGAAGCCGCCTAACGGGCCGCAGTCCCACCATCCCACAGCCATGGGAAAGGGCTGCCCTGAGGCCCTTGGGCTCGAAGGGCAGCCTTCCTGGCTGCAGCCGTGGTGGGACCCTGAGGCACTGAAAGTGGCTCTTGGCTCCTAGAAAACTCCCCGTAATCCCAGGAGGAAGGAGGGATCAGGCGCTCAGGGGGCATGCAGACCCAGGAGACCTGGGGGCTGGGAGGGTGCCGCCTGTATGGGCATTTCCCTCACACAGTCAGGAGAGCCGGCAAACGGTCACCCTCACACACAGCGGAGAGCAGATCGCCCGGGAGGGGCAGGGGTGCGAATGAGGTCCCGCTGGTGGCACGGGGTCCTTTTTGGGATGATAGCAGCACACCTCTGTTGATGCGCCGGAGCCCGCTGAGTCGTGCACGTGGTGCAGTCAGTAGTGAGGGCACGAGTGTGTCCTGGGACAGCCATGCACGTGGTGTGGTGAGTCATGAGGGCATGAGTGTGTTCTGGGACAGCCGAGCACGTGGTGTGGTGAATTGTAAAGGGTGTGTGTCCTGGGACAGCCATGCACGTGGCATGGTGAATTGTAAAGGGTGTGAGTGTGTCCTGGGACAGCCATGCACGTGGCGTGGTGACTTGTAAAGGGTGTGTGTCCTGGGACAGCTGAGCACGTGGCATGGTGAATTGTAGAAGGTGTGAGTGTGTCCTGGGACAGCTGTGCACGTTGGGTGGTAAATTGTAAAGGGTGTGTGTCCTGGGACAGCCGTGCACATGGCATGGTGAATTGTAGAAGGTGTGAGTGTGTCCTGGGACAGCTGTGCACGTTGGGTGGTAAATTGTAAAGGGTGTGTGTCCTGGGACAGCCGTGCACATGGCATGGTGAATTGTAGAAGGTGTGAGTCTGTCCTGGGACAGCCGTGCACCTGGCATGGTGAACAGTAAAGGGTGTGAGTGTGTCCTGGGAAGCTGTGAAGGCAGCCCCTCCATGGCTGGAGTCAGACCCCCCATGGAGAGTGTGGCAATACAGAGTTGGCAGTAAGGACCCTCACCCTCACCTAGCAGGTCAGCCCCCTCGTCCACGTCCCCGATGACCTCTGACCCGGCGGTTGACAGCTCGTGGTACAGGGAGTCAGTGTTGATGCCGAAAGCCTTGTTCACAATACCCTGGGTGGGGCTGGCGGGAGGATGCATGGGGGGCAGTCAGAGGGCAGCACCCACACACGCTGTCTAGACCCTCCCAGCCCCGAGCCCACCGCTCTGCAGACCTGCACTGCTCTGTGGCGTCAGGCATGAGCAGGGCAGTGGGGTCAGTGTCCAACAGTCTCCCCTGAGCAGTGGGATGGGTGCCTGGACCCTCCCTACCTGGGGACCCTGTCCACCCAGGGATCCAGGGCCCCTCTCCACCCGGGGCCCCTGTCCACCCAGGGCCCCACTCCACCCGGGGACCCAGGGATGTGGGTTGAGCACCTGTTGCCAGTGCGGTCCAGGCGTGGCTCCTGACACACATCAAGCTCCGGGGTGGAGTCTATGATGTCCTGGACGTCAGACCACTCGTCACTGCTGCCCATCCCTGGGGGAACAGCAGAGTGGGGTCAGGCGTGCCAGCGGTTTCCCTCCACCATGGGGTCGCCCCTGTGATGACCCCTGCCGGGGGCTCAACAGAAAGGGCCATCCCCTGGGGCCAGGTGGACGGAGCAGCCCAGGCCCGCGGGAGGGGGACGGCACGGGGCCGATTTGACAGGACACTTGGCAGCGGCCCATCTTCCCCGCCCCGCACAGGTGGCAGCCTGCGGCCAACGGCATGGCCACCAGCAGGGAAGTGCGGCAGGTGGCTGGGGGGGCGGCTGGGGGGGGGCCTGCTGGGGGGCGGCTGTGGGGGCAGCTGGGGGAGCAGCACACCTATGCTGACGTTGCGCATCTCCTGTGTGACCTGCACCTCCATGTTGCGGCTGTGACGCTTCTCACGAGCCCGCTTGCCGTTCCTGCCGCCGTAGTCCCCGAGGGGTTGCATGCCGTCGTTGAGGGGCGTGACTGCGGCTGAGGGCACCGAGGATGTGGGCGTGTTGGACTTGGTGCCAGTGGTGCTGGGTGTGGCGGCCGCGGAGGACTGGCCTGACTCAGACATCTCATCTTGGGGACACTGGGACAAGCACAGGGAGGGCGTGTCGTGGTGTCTCCCCCCACAGGCCAGTCTGGCCACACAAGGCCACACAGGGCGTCACGGCCACCCCCAAGTGAGGCCCCATTGCCCAACATCCTTGCCACTTGCAAAAGAATCATCTGGAAGGGACTGGGGGACACCCCTGGTGCCCGCAGGCCAACCCCTTGGGCCTGGTCACTCTGCGGCTGAGGGGAGGCTCTGCAGCTCGTCTGGCTTTCTAGAAGCAGCCGCCACCAGACTTAAATGTGTCGGAACGTGGCTTTGGGCCGGCACGATCCCACAGGCAGGAGGATGACGCAGAGTGTGATGGAAGCTGTGCGGCAGGGCAAGACGGCCTGTACAGCCATTGCTGTCAGACACAGACACCGCCCAGGCAGGCAGCAGGTGCCCGGTGTCCGACCGACCATGACAACGCCATGCCGACACACGGGCTCCCCCGCCGCCCCCCAGGACGCCTGCCTCTGCCCCCGTCACCGGCACAGGGGAGACACTGAGGGGGAGGGTAAGGCTTCGAGTGCCAGCCCTGACAATCGCAGAACTACAGTTACAGAAGGGGGCGCCACTGAAACGTTCTGGGGACACAGCTGCCATTTCTAAACCAGCATCACCTGAGATGCCACTCGGGCGGAGCCATGCTCTGTGAAGAACCGTGGGCCCCCTCCTGGCTCCCTCCTGAGGGAAGCCCTGGCCTGCCTCCCACAGCACAGCTCACCCCCGGGCGGAGCCATGTTCTGTGAAGAACCGTGGCCCCCTCCTGAGGGAAGCCCTGGCCCGCCTCACACAGCTCCCGGCATGACTCCGTGGGCACAAGTCAGCACAGCTCACCCCCGGGGGGCCTTGGGTGCAGTCCCCTTCAGCCCACCCCCCACCATTCTTGGTGCTGAGAGGCCTCAACATAAAGACCAGCAGGAAAACCCCGTTCCTCTCCGAGACAGGACATGGGGGCTGCTAGGACACACATCCAGGACAGACGACTGGATGGATGCCATGCTTTGGGAGACTTCCCAATGGTGGGGACATGTATCTGGGGCAGGAGGGGCTGAGGGGGGCAGCCGGTCCTCCTCCAAAGCTGGGTAAACACTGGACTGCAGCACGCGCTGTCACTGAGCGGGCAATCGGGACCGTCCAGGTGACAGACTGAGGCTCCCGGCCGTGTCCAGTCCCAGCAGATGGCGTGGGCTCCCAGGCCTGTGGGGGCTTTCTGTCTGGTCACCACCACGCTCCAAGCAGAGACGCCCTCGTACCGGACACGGACCGTACCATCGGAAGGTAGGCTCTGAGACCTTGCTGCCAGGAATTCTGAAACTCAGAGCTAGCTCTACAGCAGGCTGGCCGTCAGTGACTGGGCCCCAGGGCACACCTGGCCACATCTGGGTGTGGCTGTCACAGTTGGGGTGGGGGCTACCGGCACATGGTGGGCAGAGGCCAGGGATGCCGTTAAGCATCCTGCAGCACCAGGATGGCCCCAGAGGATGATACCGGTACCGCTGGGCCAAAGTGGACAGACCCGCTCTAGCCTACTCCTCGCTTCCTGGAAGGGGCTGTGCATAAACATTTGCGTCTGACAGCTCATGCCCAATTCCGGAGGGAGAAACTCTTTCCTCTGTATGTCTACAACCAACGCTGAACCAGGTGCATGTCACCCACACTCCCAGTCACTTCTTCATGGTGAAGTGCCCAACCTTCCTCTGCCTGACCCCATGTCGCAGGTGGGGCCTCTGCTGCCACACGAGGGGTGTAGGAAAGGGGCCCACACCTTGAGGAGTGGACTGCTTCCAGACCTTCCCCAACAGCCACAGCCAGTTCTGGACACGCAAACTGGGGGTGGTGCATGCCTGGTGGGCCTGGGGTACCTTAGGATTAACCACCTGGACTTCTGCAGTGTGAGCATGCCGCTCCTGGCCCCCTAGCGCTGTGGGCCTACAGGCCACCACTTACCCACAGACACTCCCCCTGGCGCTGTGGGCCTACAGGTCACCACTTACCCATAGACACTCGCCCTGGCCCCCTAGTGCTGTGGGCC